GTACCGACGGTGATGGTGTTTGCTACAGTCATGGTGGCGATGGGAATGGTGACAATGATAGCAATTGTTGTGCTGATGGTTAAAATGCCCAGAATGTTGATAGTGGTATTGGTGGCAGTTGTGCTACAAGTGCTAATGGTGATAATTTTACTGGTGATGCTAATTATGACAGCAGCGCCGAATGTGTGTTGATACGGATGATACAGATACTGTGTGTTGGATACAAGGATTTTAATTGGTCGACGGGATGGTATAGGTCATGGTGATTTACCAATGGACATTCCGGATTGAAATGCTGAATGCAAGTGGAGTAAAGCGTATGTGTTTAACTGATGGAAATACAGCTACCAGGCGCCGAGTCAGGATAGAACTGGTGGTGATGTACTAAGAGATTTGTAAAAGGGTCGAGAAAAATGAGGAATGGAAGGTGTCAGTAAAAAGACAAAGGCCTTAAATGCGATCGACTTGAAAATTTCTGTACAATATTAAGTAACTCAAACAATGACAACGTTAACCGAGGTTCAACGTGGCTCTACCTATCATAAAGATATTGCAACAATATCGATGTACATACCCATACGTTGATAATCATACCAGGGCTGTAGCCAGATTTAAGGACAAGACGAGGCAAGGTTTGAGCGCCGAAGGCGCGAGCCGCTAGAGAGGTCTGGGGGCATGCCCCCCAGAAAACTTTGAAATCTAGAGGTTTAGAAATGCTCTTTTAAGGATTTTCCGTGGCATATTCCTTGAGAAAAGTCAATCTTTAAGAAAAATTTAAAAAAGGCCAAAACTAAGACGAGGCAATTGCCTCGTCTTGCCTCAAGCTAGCTACGGCCCTGCATACTGAGATAAATTGGAAGTTACAAACCTGAATCTGCTGTCCACCGGTCCAACATATTGATCAATTAAACTCTCGGCAAACGCTCCAAATATCGTTAACATCATAGCAGGCACTAAAAAGTGATTTCTATTCACTGCCGAGTTTCTACGTGCCAAGGTTTGCACTTCTACTTTCAAGAAAAGACCCATCAGAAACGCTGTAGAAACGCCGCGAGCATAATACTTTGTTGCA